CAGATGAAATCGCACGGACGGCCCAGATTTAATCAAAAAATGGACGGCCCAGATTAAAACAAAATGAACGACTGAGATCAAAAGGCAAAAGGGTATAAATAGAACCCCCACAACCAGACCACAAAAACCCTAGCCGCCTGCCCTCGCCGGAGAAGACGAACCAGACGCCGGAGACGCCGGCCGCCGCCACCTGCCGCCGCACTGGGGAGATTTCTGACCGCCAATCGAGGTAAATTTTATACCCCTGACACGTTTTTTCACGCTGATTTCTCCTGTGGCCAAATCGAAGCCAAAATCCCTGCCAAACGGCCGAAACCCAGCGGCGCCGCCGCGCCCCTTCTCGGTTTTTGCCTCCGATGAGGCCCTTCTCGGCCTCCGTTTAATGTACTTTTTATATCACCATGATCACCATTCTTTTTTCTACAGGTTGATCGAAGCCGAATCACCAAAACACGAACTTCACTGGAGAGCCGCCGCACCCGAGAGCACCGCCGCCGGTAAGCTTCAGTTTTTCGTAATTTTTTGGCCCCCCGAGGGCCCTAGGGTTGTTTGATCGCAAGGATCGATGCAAGTGTGGCCGAATTCAGCCGAAAACGGCCAAACCGAGGCGAATCGCTGCCACAAGCGGCGGCGCCGTCACCGGAGCACGGCGGAGCCGCCGTGCCGAAATTGCGATATTGGCCAAAAAGGGGCCCTGGGCCTAATTCGGGATTTTTTGGAACACGTGCAGGTACCAGTAGTGCGTTTCAGTTCCCCGGGGAAAAATTCAGGGAAAATTAGGAACAGCCTGTAGGCGCACTGTGAAGCCGTGTTCGGACCCCGAAACGAGTAAGGACCCCTCACCCTATTTCCTATCACGGTATTAAAGTTCAATAAATGATAAAACGGTATTTCATGAATCAACGAATGTGTGAAATTGCTTAAGGTCGCTAATGGAGCCCGAGTCTAGTGTGTTTGTCGGTTAATTGTTATTTGGCCTGTTTTACAGTTTTAAATGCAGCATGAGGTTCGATGTTTTCATTTTATAGTTTCGTGTGCATATTTTACTGTTTTACTGATTATGGATTGAATGACTAGGATATTGATGCTGTATGTTGTCTGTTTGGCATAAATTATCGTTTTGCTTGTTTGTATGTGGATTGATAATGCTGACTGAGGGAAAAAGAGAATGAAAGATTATGTAAATGGGTAATTGTATAAATGTGGTCAGCCTGACTAGATATCCTGGGAGATGGTGGACGGACCGGGTCCGTAGGGAACCCTACCGGGATTGTGGTCTCCCATACCGGACGGGGTATGGAGATCTTATGTGTTTTGGCGCCCATACCGGACGGGGTATGGGGACGGCCCTGGAATCTGATTTCAAGTGTTAAGGGTTAACGGGTAGCGGGACCCCTATGGATCCCCATGGATACTAGTGGGCTGGTAAATGAGGAAAATATGTTGTGTGACGATTGAATTACAAAAGGCTTGATAAGTATTATGTTATACAGTTCATATATGATTTCATGATGATGATAATGTTATTGCTTTCGTATACTGTTTATGGATTTCACCGAGGTAAGTGGATGGTGAAGGATTTATTATTGATAAAAGAATTTGTTGTAAATTATGCTCCATTGGTCTTTTTGTGTTTTCTACCCACCTTTACCTCCGTGACGGTGAGATATCGTGATGTCTTTACTGGGCTAGTGTAGCTCATTCCTTATTTAATCATTTCAGATCAGGAAGACATTGTTCTTGAGCCGGTTCCGCATGAGGACGACGAAGGGGACGCCTAAAACTCCATAGTCATATTCGTAGCTTTTATTTTCAAGTTTCTCCTTTAGGTAGTTTGATCTTTTATATTTTGTGAGCACGTTTTTGGTTTTAGTGTAAGGGATGTTAATCGAATTTTTGACTTCGCTTCCGCATTCGATATTTTTAATATATATTTTATTTTCAATTTCCGGGGCCGTTACAGTTGGTATCAGAGCCGCGTTTCCTCGGGCCCATCCCTTACACAATAGTGTCTTCGAGAAATGCTCACCGATATATCGTTACTCAATCGTTCCTTGTGAATGCAGGTACACGGGAATGAGGAGAGGAAGGCCCCCACTAAACCGAGCGGCCCAAGATAATTCGCTTCGGGAGGATTTAGACAGACTATTTGAGATGGTGGAGGCTCTCGTAGCTGCCTAGCAAAGGCAAGAGGAGAGAAGGGAGTTACTCGGACCTCCTCCGCTAGCGCAGGTTGAGCCCCCGCTACAGCAGGCTGATCCCGAGCCACCCCGGCAGGAGCCTGTTCCTCCACAGTACCACCCGGCACCACAGCCGCGGTACGACCCGGTACCACAGCCACGGTACCAGCAGACGCTGCCACAGCACATTCCAGTGCCCCCACCACAAGGTCCCCCAGTTCACCCTCAGCCAGCCCCAGTCCCTCTA